AAGTCAGCACCAGAAAAGTCACAGTCGAAAGAAGTTCTACACGTGCCAATCCTGCCACAAAGACATCAGTCCCTACTCCAAATTTCTCCTCCATCAAAAGATCCATACAGATGAGAGGCCGCACAAGTGCAGCGATTGTGAGAAATCTTTTAAGAGCAGCTCCAATCTGAAGAAACATCAGAAAACTCACACCGGAGAAAGGCCCTTTGCCTGTGATCAGTGTACAAAGACATTTACCCAGCTCGCAGATCTAACTCGCCACCAGCAACTGCATAGCGGAGAGAAACTTTACATCTGTACCGAGTGCAAGAAGACCTTTGTCCGTTTCTCAGATCTCACTCGACATGAAAGGACTCACACGGGCGAGCGCGCCTACAAGTGCAATCTCTGTGAGAAAGCCTTCAGACATCACTCCAACCTCATCGAGCACCGGAAAAGACATTCGGACGAGAAACCCTTTAAATGTGATGAATGTGACAAATCCTTTCGCTTGAGCTCGGGGCTCAAAGAACATAAGAAAACGCACACTACAGAGAGACCCTATCAATGTGATGTATGCCAAAAGACCTTTAACCATATTTCAAATCTTAAAAAACATCTCAAGATCCATTCCGGTGAGAAGCCCTTTACGTGTGATGAGTGTGGAAAAGCCTTTAGCCTGAACTCCAAACTTGCCCGACACCAGAAAACTCATGATAAAAACAAACCGTCAAAATAGAGAAAATGCAGAAAGACCTTGGGGGAAAAAAAAAAACAAAAAACAAAAAAATTCTTTGGCTAGGAGTTGGGCCTTGAAATCTGTGTGGAAAGATGAACGGTCAAAGCCCAATTCTTCTATTTGAATTCTTTAGATACATGAATGCAAATGCTTAAGAAAGAGCTGTGATTGGAAAGGTGCTTTTTAGATTACAGTGTCTTACTTATTGGCAGGAAAATGGCTAACTGTCTTTCACCCAAACTGGAAATTGGACAAGGCAATTTCAAGTTTTGAGTTCTATGGTGAGAAGTAGCAGGGCAGCCACTTGAGAACTGGGGGGGGGGGGGGGGATGGTTCATTTTGCTGTTTTGTTCATCATCTATTTCACTGAATGAATAAACTATGAAGTCAAGGTAACTAAAGAGACGAGCTTCTGTAGGAAGAGAAAGTAATCTGAAGGACATGAGAAACAAAACCTATTTCTTGGAATAAGAATAGGCTGAGAAGAAACTTTGTCAGTGGAAGGGAAAAAATAATCTGATTATACATTAAACTGAAGGTTAAAGAAATAAAGAGGGGAGACTAAGTCAAAGGTCACGGGTTTTGTGGGTTGTATTACAAGGGCTTCAGTTGTCTCCACTGAATGGCCGTAATTTGGCCACTCAGGATAGTAAGTACCACAGTGAGATGCATCTAGAGAACTGAGGAGAGGAACAATTGCAACCATGCTAGGGGTGAGGTTTCACCCAGGGGACCCATTGCTCAGACCATTGTTTAGTGGAAATGAGTTGACTTAGTGGATTTAGTTGATTTAATTGTTTAGTGGAAATGAGTAGGCTATAATGACTGCTCAGATTTTCAGCAGATGTGAAAACTGGTAAGTGGTATTGAACACATTTGGTACTGTGTCAACTTTCCCCGAATTGGTCCCCATAAATATTGGTGACTGCTTATCCTGTAGAGCCAAGAGGGGCAGGCAGTCTGGCCGTCTCGCAGGTAGGAGACTACATTTAGTTTCCTCTTTGTGAGTCATTCATCTGCTTTCCCAGATAAGACACAGGCAACCACATCCTCAGCTGATGGCCCCCTCCCTTATCTGCTCCATCCCTTCGGTCTTTCATCTCCAAAGGAGGCCCTGTGTCACTTTTAACAGACAACACAAAATAGCTCTGTAGGTTCCAAGGCAGAGAGGTGCTGAAAGTGTCACTGGAGTGTTCTAAGCTGAGTATAAAAGAAACGTTACCTGTGCCACTATGGAAACGGTTACTGGAATAAAGGGGAATTGTGCCCTGGACATTTCACCCCAGGTCTAAAATCGGATAAGGCACTTCCTAGGGGGACTACTTAAAAATACTGGGTCAGAATAAAATCAAACAGGAAAAAGTATTTCAAATGCAGGGGTTTCCAACATGGCCGCTATCTTGCTGAAAGGACTAACTACGGTCTCTCTGAAAAAAACCTTAAGACAGATCAGAACAGTTTGTTCTGGAAAACCTTGCTTTCTGGCTTCCCATCGGCAAACACAGTTGAAACCTGGAGACCAATATACTCCTCACACGTGTTTCCCTTTCGAATTATTGCCACATGTCCCAGGAGCGATCACTAATTTGAAGCCTAAATCTCCCAAGTATTAGATGAAAAACAGTAAAAAGGTAGTTATTATGCAAGCATTCTGCGAAGGAAGACATCATATTAGAACATTTCCGTGGGTATTTGTTGTCTAGTTAAGTCAGTTGCAATTAGAGAGGAGTGTTAACATCATATAAGATCAATGGGCTTTTTTAGGAGCTGCCTTTTTTAAAAAAGCAAAGAGTAATTGATATGATCAAAGATGTAAGGACTCATAGTTAGGTTTGAAGTCTCATCTGGACACTGACCTCTTGTATCCCAAGGAATGGCTGTGGAGAGAATACTTCGCCTTATTGAAGATCCAGCCGTTCTTTGAAGGCAGTGTGACTCCTGCCAAGAGTGACTTTGAAGTCCAGCGCGTGCTGTGTACCCCACATAAAATTGAATCTTTGCATAAACCAGTGGCTTCCTCTTATTTGGGGAGGAGAAGGAAACGAAATGTAAATGATCCAAATTTGATGATGTATAAGGGGATGCATTGGACCACCCCCACCCCCATGGTCAGGAAATCAACGCAGGGATCCCGCCAGTTAATAAGTCTGTCTCGCTCTACCTCCTGGGACTGAAGAAATGGGGCCAGAGTGATAGGACCCCAGCATCCCATATGGTCCCCCAAGCACCGCCTGGAGTAATTCCTGAGTGCAGAGCCAGGAGAAACCCCTGAGCATTGCTGGGTGTGACCCAAAAAGAAAAAGAAAAGAAATGAGCATAGTATCATCAGTTGGCTCTGCCCGTGGAACCGAGCCCTGTGCAATGCATTCAGGCCCAGATTCTGTTAATCTCCAGAACTCTCACTCTGGCTGTGAGCCCCAGAGATGGGTGAAAGTATCTCATCAGCACTAGTGTCAAGTCACCTGAGGCGGCCTCTGTCGTTCCCTCTCTCGGGCACCAATGAGGAAGAGGAGCCCCCCTTAATCCCCTGGGGGCTTGGAGAAAACCACCCTATACTTCCAGGGCTTCCGTGTGCGCCCTATCCAGTGGTCCTTCCAGAAATCTCTATATGGGGGCTGGAGCAATAGCACAGCGGGTAGGGCATTTGTCTTGCACGTAGCTGACATAGGTTCGATTCCCAGCATCCCATATGGTCCCCCGAGCACCGCCAGGAGTAATTCCTGAGTGCATGAACCAGGAGTAACCCCTGTGCATCGCCGGGTGTGACCCAAAAAGCAAAAAAAAAAAAATAAAAATAAAAACTAAACAAAACAAAACAAAAAAACCCAGAAATCTCTATATGCCTTTGAGTCTGGGAGCTGAATATGGTGCTCTGATGTTCAGCTGTGATCAGACCCATCAGGGTTCTGGTCAGCAGACCAGCAAAACCTGACCCATCTTGCGCTGTTTCTTAGGAGCTGGCCCACGCGTGAGTCCCCGTGTTAAACAAACACAATCAGAATCAAAATCCCAGCCGCTCCAGGTTCCAGTCACGTGGCCACCCATCACATGGCCACCTTGTCTCTGAAGGCTGAACGCTGACCCTGGCATTTAGCATGGGGGGATCTTCTGGTGTTCCGTTTCTGGGCTTGCTGGGGGGGGGGGGGGTCAATCGCGTGGAACCCTGCCCCTGGGTAAATCAGAGGCTCCTGTGCGTGGACCAGCCGGAACCAGCGTGGGTCCCTTTCTTGGCCACAGTGCTGTGATGGGAGCCCTTGAGAAGAACACGGGTTACCCCGTGAAGCTCTGCCGATGTCATCCAGGACCAAAGGACCCAGGGATCAGCGCCGTGGTTCCGGATCCAGATGTGTGACGTGTGAAGCAGCCCAGGGACCAGGATGTGCCTTACCTGGGGTTCTGCGAAGGCAGGAGTTTGGGAACCATGCCCTCAGAGTTTGGGATGCAGTGGCATCGAACCAGTGGCTGGTATGCGGTACTGAATTCCCCAGAAACCTTAAATGAAATGATCGTTCCAAGAAAACCCAGCCGGGACTGTTATGTCCTGGGAAGGGAGTTTCGCTTACACATTGACCAGACCAGAAGCGAGGATGCAAACCACAAGGCCCCTTTATTACTAGCTTGAGCTAGGGTCCAAGTTTCATCCAAGGCAGTGGAGTCTTGACAAGGATCCCGACTCCGAATTCTGAGCAGTTTATATAGGATTTGATTATATAACAGCATTTTTTTCTAGGATCTGGCAGTCTGTTTCCAATTCTGGTTCTTGTCTGGTCCTGTGACTTCAGGGACCAACTGGATTCCACGGGATGTCAAAAGACCGCGTGGCCGCCCACCTACCAGACGGTCAGACTTCTTCATCAAGATCATGAACAATCGGTTTGAGGTTCTTCATGTCCCTAGAGCGAACAGACGCCATTGGGCTACACTAGCACGCGACAGGGACAAATGGAGACGTTACTGGCGCCCGCTCAAGCAAATCGCCGATTAAGGGGAAGTCAAGTGATCACGTGATCAAGTCTGATCCTGTGACTTCAGGGACCAACACTATGTTTCCAATTCTTGGTTCCTGTGGGATCCCGTGACTCCACTCCCTCCGCCCTCTCTGCTTGGCTGGGCGCTGCTGCCCATGGCCCCTACTCTGATAGGCTGCTGCCACCGGACGGTTTATCTGCCCAGGGTGATAATTATTTTCTGAGAAGTCGGGACATTCTGATGGGGGAAACTGAGACTTAGGCCTGCTGAGTCTCGGTCTTAAAGTGGAGCCTGTCATGGCTCCGCTTCGGCCTCACAGGACCAGGCTGCCAGAGGCCCGGGTGCCCAGACACCAGACATCGTTGTCAGAACTCAGGAACAGGTCAATAGACTTGTCCTATATTTAAACGGACAGTGCACACTCAAAGGGTTAGTGTTGGGCTTAGCATTTTTCTAAAACGCACATGTGAGGGGAAAAGGCAGCTCAGATAGAGAAGGGAGCACCAAATAAAGGGTGTTGGGAAGATCCTCCCAGGATGGGAGATGCATGCTGAAAGTAGACTATAGACCGAACATGATTGCCACTCAATGCCCCTTTTACAAACCACAGCACCCGAAAGGAGAGAGAGAACAAAAGGGAATGCCCTGCCACAGAGGCAGGGGGGGATGGGGGGATGGGGGATGGGAGGGATACTGGGATCCGTGGTGGTGGGAAATGGGCACTGGTGGAGGGATGGATATTTGATCATTGTATAATTGAAACCCCAAAACAAAAATTTGTAAGTCTACAACTGTACCTCATGGTGTCTCACTAATAAAAATTAATTTTTTTTTAAAAAAAGGGGGGGAAATGTCCTGCCACAGAGGCGGGGTGGGATGGGGCGATGGGGGGTGGGAGGGATACTGGGATCATTGGTGGTGGAGAATGGGCACTGGTGGAGGGATGGGTATTCGATCATTGTATAACTGAAACCCAAGCACAAAAATTTGTAAGACTACAACTGTACCTCATGGTGTTTCACTAATAAAAATTAAAAAAAAATTTTAGTTGATAAGGTTGGGAATGGTGGTGGATGAGAAAATTGTCTACCCCTACGGCACAGACCTTTGATGTTTATTGTGCTGTGACCTAGTCGGAAGTAGTTTCCAGTCTTTCCCCAGGCTGGCCAGCTCCTTGGGGAAGTTTTCACTAAGAAGATAATCTTGTTGATGTGTTAAAAAGCGGAGCAGGAGGCTGGAGAGATAGTCCAGCGGGTAAGGCACTTGTCTTGCCCAAAGCCAACCTGGATTCGTTCCCAAGAACCACATATGGTCCCCAGAACCTAGCCAGGAGCCATTCCTGAGCACAGCTGAGTTTGGAGGAAAAGAAAAAAAAAACGTGGAGGGTTCCAATAGCCAGAGATGCCCCGCTGTCAGCTTAAAGCAGAGCAAACAGGACCTTGTCACCCCCTGTAGCTGAGTTCTTCCAGCAGAAAAGGGTTTTATTCTTGCCATTCAACACTGGATGGTTCTACTTCGGGGTGAAGTCTCAAGTCACTCCCACCTGGAGAATTTGGGTCTTTGTCTTTGTTAGTGTAGTGTTTCTTTTTTAGGGTAGCTGTCACCTGTAAGTTTTCAGAGCAATGCCAGGGGGTAAATACTATTATGGAGTCAGTGATACAAATGCTATCACTGACAAATGGACACATCTCTGACTTGCACTGCTGCAGCTTAGACAACGCCAGCCTGTGGGGACAAGTTGTTAGTATAACGAATATCCTGGCTGAGAGGCAGAAGTGCTAGGGTCCCTGGGGGTGGGGTGGGGGAAGGGAGGCTCTGGGGAGGAGAAGGAGGAAAAGGAGGGACTCCAACTGGCCACGTGGGCTTTCCGAAACTTTAGAATCCCTTGAGACAGAGATATCTGTGTATTCGATATGCCAAAACCAGTAACTACAACTGGTCTCATTCACCTGACCCTGAAGGCTTCACCGACATGGCAGCACTGAGAAGGATGAGAAAGGAGAGGCCGACAAAATCTCAAGGCCGACCTAGGCTGCCACAACGAAGGAAGACAAAAATGATCGTCTGTACTTTCAATGCACGTACGCTAGCATCAGATGCATCCATCGAGGACCTGATGGTACAAGCGCGAATGATCAAGTACGACATCATTGGTCTGACCGAGACAAGAAGGCACGAATCTCACCATGCCGTTTTCGACACTGGAGAAGAATTGTTCCTCGGAACATGCGATAAAAGAGGTGTTGGAGGCGTCGGTGTCCTTGTCAACACAAACTTGGCCAAGAGCATTGATTCATTCGAATGCCTAACAACCCGAATCGGACGATTACATTTGAATAGATGTGGCTCACTGCCTGCAGTTTCTATCTTCGTTGTCTACGCACCAACATCTCATTATGATGAAAGAGAAATCGAGAAGTTCTACATGGAGCTAGAGAAGTTCTATAAAGAAGACCACACCTTCTACAAGATCATTGTGGGTGATTTTAATGCCAAGATAGGACCGAGAAGATCAGCTGAAGAACTTCACATCGGAACCCATGGCCTAGAATGGAACGAACAGGGTGAGAGACTGAGTTCATCATGTCGACCAAGACCATTCATGGTAACTCACAGTTCCAGAAGGCAGAATCTAAACGATGGACATGGGAGTCTCCCGGTGGACGATTCCACAACGAAATAGACCACATCATATTCAATCGACGGTTTTGCCTGACTGATGTCGCTGTTGTCCCAAAATTTCGAACGGGATCGGACCACCGTCTCCTTCGTGCAAAATTCTACTTCACAGAGCGGGGAGAAAGGGCTGCAAAGTTCAAAAAGAGAACTCCCAGAACGACCACCAACTGGGAACTCTTTGGTACTATTGCGGCAACATGGGAAGATGCCATTGTTGACAACATTGACGAGGAATACAATCGACTGGTTCAGCATCTCCATGAATGTGCGAGGAACGCCAAGAGAGAGATAGCCACAAAAAGTCGCCTATCTTCGAAAACTCTTGAGCTAATTCGCCAGCGTGGTTTGGCGCATGCCTCAGGCAACCGCAAGCTAACGTCCGAGCTCGCAAAGCAGTGCAGAGATGCGATCAAGGAAGACCTCAAAGAGAGAAGAGCAGAAGTACTGGTAGATGCGGCAGAAGCCGGGAAAAGTATTCGTAACGCCCGCCTGTCCTTCGCCAACTATAAGACCAAGATGACTGCCCTCCGACGTCCTGATGGATCCATCACATCCTCCAGAACGGCAATGGAGAAGATTATCCATGACTTCTACTCAAATCTCTTCGATAGCCATGTCCACTTGCCGACATACCAAATTCCACAGGATGGGTATGTCGTTCCCAACGTTCTCCCTTCCGAAATCCGACACGCCATCTCGTCAGTAAAGAAGCAAACAGCACCCGGCCCAGACAAGGTCAGACCTGAACACCTGAAGAACCTGCCGTCAGTACTCATCAATACACTGGCTCGGCTCTTCACTCGCTACCTGTCTGAATGCAAGGTTCCATCTCAATGGAAAACCAGCAGGACCGTACTACTGTTCAAGAAGGGAGACATCCATGACATTGGCAACTATCGCCCGATCTGCCTATTGTCTGTCATCTACAAGTTGTTCACTCGAGTCATCCTGAATAGGATTGGCAGAACACTAGATGAAGGACAACCATGTGAGCAAGCAGGGTTCCGCAAAGGATTCAGCACCATCGACCATATCCACACGATAACCAAGCTCATTGAGGTTTCTCGGGAGTTCAAGATGCCGCTCTGCTTAACGTTCATTGATTTAAAGAAGGCCTTTGATTCTGTTGAGACAGAAGCGGTCATTGAAGCCCTAGCCAATCAGGGCATTCAAGCCCAATACATCAGGATCCTCCGTGAGCTGTATTGTGGATTCACTACCAGGATCTCACCATTCTACAAAGAAGTGATCGTTGATGTCAAGAGAGGGGTGCGGCAGGGTGATACCATTTCACCAAAACTCTTCAGTGCCACCCTCGAGAACATCATGCGACGACTGGAATGGGAAGGAATGGGAGTGAAGATAGATGGTCGGCAACTACACCACCTCCGCTTTGCTGATGACATTGTTTTAATAACACCAAACATCAGCCAAGCGGCACAAATGCTGGCCGACTTTGACCGTGAGTGTGGAAAGGTAGGATTACAGCTGAATCTTACGAAGACAATGTTTATGAGAAACAGCCTTGTTCCTG